CTTTATGCAGCGTAAAATAGCAAAATAAATTATTATCAAAAATACTATTTGATATTTGCGTGATCGAAAAGTGTGTCAAGCCAACTAAAATATGTATTCCATTTAACATTAATAAGAATGAATTTTTAGTAACAAAATTTGATTTAAATACATGAAAAAATAAACTTGATATATGTCGCTTTAAGTGTTGAGAAAGAGTTTTATAATAAAATTACCCCCAAAAATAAAAATGCCAACTTTTCAATTATCAGAAAGATCGAGTTATATGAAAACTAATAATAATTAAAGTCTGTTTATATTCTGTGGAGTAACTTGCGATCGATCAAAATGTATTAAATTTACACACAACATTGTTTATTCCATCAAATATTGAACTTGTTGATGATTATTGTATTAGGTGTTGTAATTATTTGAATAACTTTGATGTTATAAAACATGAAACTTTGGTATGCCGAAATGCAATATGTAATGAGTTTGGAACACAGATATTATTTTTATAAAAATACAACACAACTTATTGCAAATTATAGTATTGGCAATTTAATGAATTTAAAATTACAAATAGTGTCAAAGAAGTAAAGGAAACACATTTTGTGAATGAGACAACTTGATTGAAAATGATTTTTTTTGACTGCTACCAAAATCAATGATAATTATGTTGTTAGATGCATAAATCTTACTGAAATTGAAAAACTCGAAAACCATAACAGTTTAAATATGTTGGACATCAAATGTTGATTCTGAAAAATCAAAATAAACAAACGACTTGGTAGAAATTCCGAGTATTCAGACACATTGTATATAGGAAAAAGATTTACTGAAAATGTGACTCAAATCAATAATCCAAATAATGTGACTTAAATTGAAAATGGCACCTTTTTGGAAATAATAAATTTGTATGATTTAACATTATTAGACATTTTAAAAGAGATTTGAAAACACACCTTTTTATACAATATAAAAATAACCAATATTTATATTGGCAACAACACACGTTATTTTTAGTATGTTATTACACATTAAACACAAAAGCCTATATATACATTAATTTGTAACGAGTAATGGTGGTATCACATTCGCTTTAATTTAACAAATTGAATTAATGTCATGATAATATTGTTGTTGACCAAATAACAATAATTATGTAAACATTACTATTTTAAATCGCATGTTTGTTTGTTTGAATCAACAATTTATTGTTGTTGTCAGTATTGATTGATGGGGTGCATTTTTTTAAGATTATTGATATATTCACAAATCAGTCATTTTTAAAAAGTATGTTTTGTTGTTTTATTGTTTATATATTATATATATTAATACAATATATAATATTTATATTATATAATTATATATTCAAATTTTTCCTTTGGCTAACACAGCCTATTTGTTTTTTTGTTGTTTGGGATAAGTTTTGTTTTTTCGAAAAAAAAACAAAAAAACGACCTACCTTTATATTTGGTTCAAAGAGGACTGCATTGGATCGTGAGCTTGGAAGATCCAAGCTCACTAAGAAGCCTAAGAAGCCAAGATTCTGAGGCCCCTTGGTGCTCTGAAATTAATGAAATTTTATCTATCTTGATTCTTCCAGTTATTAAATAACTAAAAAATTTGTTTTGAATTTTATAAATTGATATATTTATTAATAATGTTTAAATATTAATTTATTATAATCATTTATAAACATGTTTTATCGTTTTACAAAGATCAGTTTTTCAAACTTAAAAATATATTTTTTTCTTTATAATATCCGAATAAAAGAGGAACAATTTTGAATCCAAATAAAAGAGTTCATTCAATTTACTTAAATTTACAAACCAAAAACTTGTCAATAATATCAAACTGATAAACAATAAAAACAACCAAGAAAAATTTAGATAACAACACGAAAAAGTCGATTATTGTTAATGAAAGTCGTTTTTACTTCCAAACTGTTTCATATACACACTAAGTGAATTTACGGTGTGTTCTAATGGGTTTTATCTTTTTTAGTTGTGCAAAACATTAAGAGAATATTTATCTCAAATCTGTTGTAATCAAAACAAACAACGAAAAACAATGCACTTTATATATTAAATATTGCATTTTTTTATATCAACACAATAACATTGTATTATATTAAATTGTCAAAATGTATTTTTTACTTAAATGTTTTTAATTTAAAGAAAAATACAAATTTGATGAAAACAAAAAAAACAATTCTGAATAGAACTTACACAATTGCTATTCATCAGCATGCGTTTGTCTTTATCGTGACACTGAAATGAAGATGTTGTACTACAAAAAACATCAACACATATTGTGCTAAGTGTTATGATGTGTATCATCTGAATGTCTTTTGTGTGACAAAAATTGCTAATTTTTAGAAATGCAACAAGTTGTGTTACATGTGCTTTTTAGTATTGTTTTGGTACAACAAGCAGTGATTGTATTTATGTTGGTCAACTTGCCGAGAAATGCAAACTCTTTCAAGTTACAGTATGTGGAAATGCCGATGGTGCCTTATTTTGAGCAATCAATTCAGATCGCTTGAAATATGAAGAGAAGCGTTTAAATTGTGTTATCAGTGTTTCAAATTATGCAAATTGTATTGTCAAAAGTTGGATTTAAGAAGATGTTGAATTGATAACAAGAGAAAATAAGAAGTGTTTTATTTACGCGACACTTGACTAATGCAAGTAGTTTTTAGAGTTTGGGTGTGCCGTGTGCTATGATCTGTATTATCAAAATAAATACAAAAAATTACAAAATGTGTTGAGTTGTATAGTGCAAGAATGCGCGGCCCGAGATAATTGTGATGGAGTTGCACACGGTCATTGGGATGACTACTAATGACACATTTTTTTATGCGTTTCAAAAGTCCAATATTGTTCACACAATGAAACGTTCCAGTCTTTTTTATACATGTCTCTTTTTAAAATGTGAACAAAATATGTAATTTGAATTTGATGATAAAAAGATTAATTAAAATGAAATCGTAAATTCAGTTAGTTGTTGTTAATGCGATGAAATACTTCCAGTCACCAGGTACACCAATCTCACGCTTTTCAATATCGAAATATACTTCGACTTTATTTCCAGTCAATGCGACTTGTGATTGTGCTGTGCAGACACCCATGTCGAGTGCTGTTCAACTTCCTTTGATTCCAAAGAAGTGTATTTTGTTGTTAGTGATAACAATTTTTTACTCGTGTTTATTTGAAGCACTTGGCGAAAATCTGATCTTTTCCAATGTTTTTAATTTTAACTTCTCGGTTAAAATTACAAGGTGCGTTCTTGTAATCATTTGACGAGTTTGTCAAATAAGAGTAATAAATATGATGGTGTTTCGAATAAGAACTTTTGATTTCATTTTTTTTCATCTATCGCTGTCCGTGGTTAGTTTTATATTGTGCAAAAAACAAACAACCCGTGAATGTTGTGATTGATTAATAAATTTGTGTTTAAATATCTCCATGTTTTTCTATTTTTAATTATTGTGTTTCTTATCGATAAAAAATACGATTAGATATAAATATCACGCTGAAATTCAAACACTTTGAATCTTTTCATATATTTTTGACTTTTTTAGGGTTTATAATTTATTCCATGCACACCAATTGTTTGTGGTTTATTTTTAAAAACCCAATATTAAACAATATCACATAATTAACCTGCCTTTATTTTATATTATAAATTGACAACCAACGACATTGTTTCTTTTTAGTGTTTTCATTTAATTTTTATTCAAACTAAAAGAATAAAAGTGTATATTATTAAAAAATACAATTTGCTTTATCGTGAAAAAATATAATGTTGATTTTTTAGTAAAAATTAAATAAAAAGTATTGTGTTATAAATATGCTTAAAATTATTTTTAATATGTTTTCAAATGTTATTTTTTACTATTAAGATTGTAAATGAAATTTATTGTTTATGTGTGTTTATTTTTAAAATCATTTTAACTGGTATTTATAAAGTTAATAATGTTGATTTTTTTCAGTATTTATTAAAACAAAAACATTTTAAATAGTACAATCTTATCAACATACAAGACAATTTTATTTTTATTTCAACTAAATTACTAAATTGTAAAAAAGAAAATTCTTTATCATAGAGAACATAATCATTTAAGCAAAAAACACATTTATTTTTAAATT